TGTTCACTTTTTTTTATTGACCATGTAAAGAGGAAAAGCACTTTTAAAGGAGCCTTAATGGACACTTCCTTTACTGCATAGCTTGTTGGTTCTTTGTGCAATTTGGCTTCTTTATCCTAAATCGGGGGGTCTCCAAACTTTCTAAACTAAGGGCCAGTTTACTGTCCTTTTAGTTTTTACAGGGGCCAGACTGTGGCCAGTGGAGAAGAAATTTGTCTTGTCAGTAAAAGTAAACAAGGCCCCCCAGTGGGAGGAATAGTGTCCCATCATTGGTGTCAGTGGGAGGAATAGTGTCCCATCATTGGTGTCAGTGGGAGGAATGGTGTCCCAGTGGGAGGAATAGTACCCCATCATTGGTGTCAGTGGGGGGGAATAATGTCTTGTGTTACAGGGAAGAATAATGCCCCAAGGGCCGGATAGAGATAAGCAAAGGGCCACATCCAGGCCCTGGGTCGCAGTTTAGAGACCACTGTCCTAAATCATCAGACCTCATTTTCCAAAGCTACAATTATTCAGATTCACTTTCTGATACACAAATGTGACCTTCCTGCTATCAGAGAAGCTTCTTCCTGCAGCACCCGGGGGGTAAAAACACATGATTGAGACTTAATTTTTTCCACCCCCTAATTGCTTCCCCTTAAGCTACAAAAAACAGTGCATGGTTGGTATACATAATCTGTGGCATGCGAAAAAAATTATCCTCTATTGCATTTGGTGGCCAATACTGCCAATCAAATGTAGCTTATTCAAGTAAATGTGGCTGCAGCTCAGTGAGTTAAGAGGAGGCAACATTATGCCTCCCCAGCACCTGTCAAACACTCTTTGGAAAGTAATGCATTACAGATCGCTCTTCACAGGGCCAAGCTCATAGAAATGAATTCTTAAAGCAGAACTCTGGTTAAAATGTTTATTTTCCCCATGCAGTGGGGATGTGCCCATACATGGGTTACGCGCTCGTTTTGTCCAGGGGCTCATGTAAAATCTGTACTTACCAATTCCGCCGATCCTCTGGAAAACCGCCCTCCTCCATGTCCAATGGTGGACTGTTCTTGCTATGCTCATGTCCGGAGCTGGCCTATGGGCATGATGACGTCAGGAATATTCCATTCACAAGACTGCTGACATGCAGGGACAGGAGTGTGGGCACAGCCCCCCCTGCAGTGGAAAATAATAACTTTGCCCGGATTTCTTCTTTAAAGTCATTCAGTTAGGATTTACTTTGTTGCCTACAAATGGTGAAGCAGTGTGTGTGTCTGTATGGTTGGTAGAAGCAGATGACTAAACCCTAGAACAGCTGATTGCACTTTGCTTGGGCCTGCTTTCTATTAGACATTCAGGTGAATGCACGCTGAAGCACATGGGAATGCGTGTCTGTCGGCACAAGTATTTCCTGCTGTGGGAGCAGTTATCTGCAGTTTTGTTTCAATCTGCCAGTATGCTAGGGACAGTGGACAGTCCCACCCCATCACCTGAGATCCTATACAATGGCATCTCAAGGGAGTTTCATCTAATGGCAATGCTTGTGTTTATACAGCTATTGGTAGATAATAACTGGCATTAGCCACTGAACCATAAAAACCACCATAAATTTCCTTTGTTTAAAAAAAGAAAACCTCCTTCTTCCCACTAATGAGTAATCAAAATATAAAAAAAGAAAATGCTAACCGTGATTATCATTGTTAATTAACATCTGTGCTAATTATGTCAATGTTGACTTTGATTTTCTGCCAATTTCTGTGGGCTCCTGTTGTGTGTATTTGCATACCAAATATATAACTGATTACTCACAGAGACGGCGTGGAGGAGAACGGAGGCGGGATGGTTGTTTTCCTGATGCTTTGTTAGGTTCTGGCAGCCCATTAAGTGTTTAAGGCTCTCTAGTGCTTCATTATACATCTTGGTGAAGTGCCATATGTGCTGTATTGCAGATGTACGACACATTTCAGGTTCTGTCACTTTCGAGAAGCTCCATGGGTCTTTATTCAGCTATTAGCTTCTGTATTTTGATAGTGTTTTTATGCAGCTCTGTTTAAATGGATTTTGTAGCGTACCTGTAGATTTATAGAATTCCATATTGAACCCTTGCTGGATAAATTATCACAGAAACTCTTTCGTGCATTTACACCGGCCTGATGTGTTGCGGTGCATTATTGCACAAATGTTAACAAGTATTTGAACCTTCAACTTGTAAAACAACCCCTTCAGTTTCAAATAGAAATGCAGGATAAAGTGTGTGTGTATAAAACATGGTATAGAAAAGATTTACCCCCCTTTGAAAGACCGTTTTTGTTTTATCTGGCTTTATGTACTCAGTGCAACTTATAACAACCTAGTGAAAGATATAACCCCTAACAGGTAAACAAAATTAAATAAAAACAGAATCAATGAGTCAGAAAAAGGATCACCCTTCTCCTAAAAGATATAAACTCAATCAGGTGTAGCTAATCACCTTCTCAATGGCACACAAAGCCATTTGACTTTCAACTGATCAGCTGTGGTCATTTTGATTAACTCAACATGAAAAGCGGTTTCCTGAAACATTTCAGTCCCTGGTAGTGCAACTGAAGCAAACAATCAACTAGGGGTGGCAAGGCACTATCAAAAGATCTCCAGGATAGAGTTGTGAACAGGCACAAGTCAGTAGATGGATGAAAAGAAATTCAAAGGCTTTATCAATGCCTAGAAGCACAATGAAGTCTATTATTAAGTAGTGGAAGGTATTTGGTACAACACAGACCCTCCCTGGATCAGGACCTCACTCCAAAGTAGATGAAAGAGCCAGAGAGGCTAACAAGAGGCCTACAGCAACATTGAAACATTTGCAGGAATTTGACAGAGTGGCTATTGTGTGCATGTGAGAACAATATCACAAATTCTCCACAGATGTGGCTTGTGTGGGAGGGTTGTAAGAAAAAAGCCACTCAAGAAAGACCACATGCAGTCATGACTGAGCTTTGCCAAAACGCACCTTAAGATTCTGAGGCTATGGAAAAAGGTGTTATGGTCAGATGAGACTAAAATTGAATTATTTGGCCACAACACCAAATGATATATCTGGTTGAAATCCAATACAGTTCACCATCCAAATAACACCACTGCTACAGTAAAGTATGGAGGTGGTAATATCCTGTATATTTTTATGGGGATGTTTCTTTGCAGCAGGGACTGTAGCACTTGTCAGGATAGAAGGAAAAATGGATGGGGCAAAATACTGTTTAAATTCTTTTAGGAAAATCTGCTGCGCTCTGCCAGAAGGTTGTCAATGGGAAGGTTTACCTTCCAACATGACAATGACCCAATGCACACAGCAAAAATGACCACACAGTGGTTGAAGGAGAAGAGGGTGAATGTCCTTGCATGGCCTAGTTAGAGTTCAGACTTAAACCCCATTGAAAATCTGTGGAATGACTTGAAGACTGCAGTCCACAAACGGTCACCATCAACGTCTGTTGATTTTTGTTTTTGAATTTTTTAAAAAATTTTCTTTGACATGGGGGTGGTATATTTTTAATGTAAATACAGCTGGATAAAACAAAAACTGTAAAAACAAGGGAAAAGAGGGTGCACCAGCCTTGTGCATTACCTAGGGTTTTAGCTTTATTAATCCAAAGTAAATTATACTCACAAACCCTGCGGTAAAAAAGCGTGTTAGATACAAAGCGAGCAGTACACAGGATTAGGTCCCAAACTTGTGAGGACCCTCTTATGGCTGACGCGTTTCGAGGAGCGGCCTCTTCTTCCTCAGAGCCCTCGAAACACTTCAAAACAAGAGGGTCTTCACACGTTTGGGAGCTGATCCTGTGTACTGGTCGCTTTGTATTTGACACGCTTTTGTTACCCAGTGTTTGTGAGTATAATTTACTTTGGATTAATAAATCTCTCAACCTAGGTAATGCACAAGGCTAGTGCGCCCTCTTTTCCTGGGTTTTTACAGTTAGTACCTGCCAGTTTTCTCTAGAGGGCAGCAAGGCCAGTGCTGGTACTGGATGCACGAAGGATCTTTTACAGTTCCATCTTTGTACGGGCAAACAATTCACTCTCTAGATGTGCAAAGCTGGTAGAGACATACCCAAGAAGACTTGCAGCTGTAATTGCAGCAAAAGGTGGTTCTACAAAGTATTGACTCGGGGGCTGAATACAAATGCACGCCACACTTTTCGGATATTTGTACAAAAATTTGAAAACCATTTATCATTTTCCTTCCACTTCACAATTATGTGCCGCTTTGTGTTGGTCTTTCACATAAAATCACAATATAAATGCAATTATGTTTTTGGTTGTAACATGACAAAATGTGGAAAATTTCAAGAGGTATGAATACTTTTTCTAGGCTCTGTATATAGCGTGTAAAATAAGTATTTTTCTCATTAAATATATATTTTGACATGAAATTAAATTTTCACACATGTCGGTAACAACCCCTGCAATCCATACATACAAAAAAAAAAACAAAACAAATAAGTCCAGAAATTAAGTTATGTGTAATAAAATGGAATGACACAGGGAAAAAGTATTAAACATACTAATTGAAATGTATTTAATACTTCATACAAAATCCTTTGTTGGCAATGACAGCCTCAAGATGCCTCCTATATGGAGAAATTAGTTGCATGTATTGCTCAAGTGTGATTTTGGCCCATTTTCCACATAGTCTTCAAATATTGAAGGTTTGGTGGGCCTCTTCTATGAACTCTGATCTTTAGTTCTTTCCATATATTTTATGTGCAAAAGTTTTAGGCAGGTGTGAAGAAATGCTGTAAAGTAAGAAAGCTTTCAAAATTATAATTTTTTTTAAAATCAATTTTTAAACTAGAAAGTGAGCGAACCGAAGAAAAATCTAAATTAAATCAATATTTGGTGTGACTACCCTTTGGTTTCGAACCAGCATCAATTCTTGCACTTGCACAAAGTCAGGGATTTTGTAGGATTAGAGTCAGGCAAGCTTTGTGGTCCTAGATAGACATTGTTCTGGTGATCTGAGCTGTTTTCACATTTTCCAGGTTGTGGGCCACAAGGAAGGTCTAGATGTGATGGAGCGAGCCGACCCTCTCTTTTTGCTGATTGGTCTACCCACCATTCCTGTCATGCTAATTTTGGGCAAAATGATTCGCTGGGAGGACTATGTGCTCAGATTGTGGCGTAAATACTCTAACAAATTACAGATTCTTAACAGCATATTTCCGGGTAAGTGAGGGTATAGCTACCCTTTAATACATATGAAGAAATGGTGACCTCTATAAGATTGTACCTGATGAATTTGTTTCTAATTCTTTTATCAACTTTTAACATTTGATAAAAGGCCAATGTCTGTGTCCCTTGATGCATGCTTCTTTGACTGTGTGTCACTGCTATGTGCTTTAGTGACATATGGGTCAGTGGAAGAAACCACAGGGCACCAAGCGAAATGACACACCCAGAAGTGTTGGTTGCCCATAGACATCAGCTGAGGATTCCTCTTGATCGGAGTGGTGTTCTAGTGACATGGACACAAAGAGGTATCCGATTTTTACTTTTCAGATTCGCGTTTTGGAAATTTTAAATGACTGAGTCACTTTAAGGTGTTCCTGAAAAAAACTGAATAACCACGCCCCTGTAAAAAGAACCATCTTTATACACCTTTCTTGCTGTTCATTTGTTTAAAAATGTTCTTTCTTAAAGTGTTAGTACCACTTCTATCTGACGCTACCAGCGTGTTGGATGGTATATCACCCTCCAGCTGATCTGGTTGTCCCTATCAACCTCTGTGGCGCTACAGGCTATAGTAGTGACATAGGGGTTGGCAGGAGGACCACAGCACCTAGAGAGTACACATTAACTTGCATACCTGGCAGGATTGCAGAGATGTCTGAAGCACTTCAAGAAAGCTAAGATTTAATACACCTGTCCTCACCAGAAAGGTAAAGTATAAACCTTCTTTTACAGGATGCTTTTGCTTTAAAATTTTTTGGTGGTAGCAAAACAAACCAGAAACGTAGTTGGTATCGATCCTGTTTAGTTATTCATGATGGTCTTTTTTGAAGTATTATTTTCTATCTGCATTATCTTTTTGGGGTTTTGAGCAGACCAGGCAGACACGGACTTCCTGTACTTGGCCATGAGCTCCAGCTGTTTTTGAGAGTTTCTTGACTAGCTGGAATAAGTCTCTCCCCAGCATTTTTTTTGATGCTGCCCAAAACCTTTCCCATACTTTTCCATAAACCTGTGCAGAGGGTTGTGTTTGCCCACACAGAAGGCACAGGAGTTTCATGCAGCTGTGTCCAGGCAACCTAAGATGCCCCTCTAAAAGTCCTCAGTTGGCATCTCTCAGTTTAAGGACCATTGGCTTTAATCTAGGATATTCCTAACTCTTCTAACCCCCTCCTTTGAATATGAAATGTATTATAAGGAATTAAATCCATTAATTACAAGTACACCTATTTTGTGACTGATATCTTTGTTACGTATCAATCTATTCTGCCTGTTCTTTCAGGAATTGGATGTCCTGTCCCTCGCGTACCAGCTGAGGCCAACCCTCTAGCAGATCATGTCTCTGCTACTCGCATACTGTGCGGAGCTCTGGTCTTTCCCACCATCGCTACTATTGTTGGCAAACTGATGTTCAGCAGTGTTAACTCCAATCTACAGAGGACAATTCTGGTGAGTGTTTTGTGGGCTTACTAATGCTAAGCTTGCTAAGGCTTGGCTAAAGAAAACTCTACTTTCATTAAAAATAAACCATAAACTTGCTACACAAGCCATTTTGTAGTTTAATGTTATTAAAAATTATCTTTCAATTTTAATCATCAGTCTCCATAAATTTCTAAAGATGAAAATAATATAGTGCAATGTGTAAGCCTGAATGTATTTTGTATACCATGGTGTACATGAAGAATATAACCCTAATCACATTCATGTGGAAACAGTTGCTAAAGTGTATATATACCTAGAATCTGTTTTCAATTTATTTGGCATCATATCATATATCCTTGTACATGATTTTCTTAAGCAAATTAATTTTTGTAAATCTATTTAAGAAGTTTCTTACTTGAGATCCTGCCAATATAAGCTTTTCCTGTTATAGGCAGACAATACTACACCACTGTCAGGTAGGGTGGCCAATGACCAACTGAAGGCGCTTGCATGGTAGACTGACAACACTGCTGCTAATAGTGAGGAAGTCACTTAGTGTTGTCAACTTGCAACAGCAAGTGCTGTTACAGCAGGATTTCTAGGTAAGAAATGTACAGAGCAATACAAACCTAGCTGAGGTTTTAATCCTATCCAACAAGTAGGCAAAGGGTTTGGGCTTGAGATTCACATTGAATAAACCTGAGGCCAGGCTATGGACATTACGATATTAGCATATTCTTAAAGCAGATCTTCACCCTCTTAGGGAACTTCCCTCCAATCCACTTCCCCTTGTCTGTGAAATTGCTAAAAATAAATTGAAATATCACATTGGCATAAGTGTTCAGACCCTTTGCAACAACACTGGAAATTTAGCTTAGGTGCTTCCTATTTCTCTTGATTGTTGCTGAGATGTTTCTACACCTTGATTGCAGTCCACCTGTAGTAAATAATAAATTGGACATGATTTGTAAAGGCATACACCTCCTCTATAAAAGGCCTCACAGCTGACCATGCATATTGTATCAGAAAAAAAGCCAAGGTCAATGGAACTGCCGCAGAGTTTAGAGATAGGATTATTGCAAGGCACAGATCTCGGGAAGGCTACAAAAAAAATTCTGCTGCACAAGGTTCCTAAGAGCAAGATAATTCTCAAATAGAAGTTTGCCATAACCAGCGCACTCCCAAGAGCTGGTCGGCTAGCCAATCGGTTGAGGAGGGCCTTAGTAAGGGAGGTGACCAAGAAGACCGATAGTCACTCTGACTGAGCTCCAGACATCCTATGTGGAGATGGAACAAAGTTACAGAAGAAAAACCATCACTCTATCCCTCCACCAGTCTGGTATTTATGGCAGAGTGGCTAGATGGAAGCCTCTCCTCCATGTAAGCCTGCTTGGAGTTTGCAAAAACAATTAAAAATGGGGGGGGGGGGGGGGGGGGATGTGAAGATCTGTATTAAAGAACACTAAATAAATTGCCTCTGTAGCTGCAGCCACTGTGAAGCATTTCATCTTCAAGATTCACACAAGGTCATCTTCTAGGCCAGTTTAGCTCATCCTGTTCAACCCTTGCAGCTATTATTCGGAAGCTTTCCTGCCTTCTAACCTGTCATGTAATTAAAGAGCAGCAGCTGTGACAGAGGGTAACAAAGCTTTCTGAGAATCAGATGAACAAATTAAATTCTACTGCTCCTGTCTTTAATAATGAGTTTCTCCGCAATGCCTGAAGCTGTAAATGACCGGCTTTTTTTTTTTTTTTTTTTAATTTCTTTATCTTCAAATTTAAAAAAAAAAAAAGAAAGGGAATTGGTATAATTTGGTAAAGATTAGTAAGGATTTACACTTTAAAATAAGTTTGCTCTTAAACTGGAGTTCCACCCATTTTTACAAATTGGCCTTATTAGATAGTCCCTGTGAAAAGATGCACATGTTGGAAATTTTTTTTTTTTTTTTTTATACATACCTTTTTATCTTCTGCAAGCCTGCATTTCTGGTCCCGACTGCCTAGGCAGTGATGTAGATCGGCGATTTGCAAGGTCTCCTGGGATGTCATTTCTGTGCTCTCGAGACTTGGTAACCAGAAATGACGCAAATGGGCGGTGCTTCGCGCCATTTTACCGGAGTCCATGCTGAGAGGAGGACATGTCTGCAGTATTGAAGTGCTATACAGGTTGCCTGACGGAGGCGGGGGGCAGGAACTTCATCCATCCCCACCATTGCTATGGCAACCTGTACTGCACACGTCGCACCAAGCATTGCTGAGTGTTGCATGCTGTGATAGCCAGCAGCACGAATTCAAGAAGTAAAGACCTGCAGGCTTCAGATGCCCACAGCCTTCATGGCAGGTCCAGGTAAGTATGATCGAATTGCAAAGTTATTTCAATGTTTTTAATATTGCATTATTCCAATTCTGATTGTTATTTGTAATGTCATCGTGGATCTTCTTCTAGAAATTTTTTTTTTGGGGGACTGGAACTCCTCTTTAAAGTGACATAGTATACAAAGAATAACAGCTAGGCACTATACCCTGATACCAGGCATTCAACATACATATGAAACAGTGCAGCGCTTAATATAAACCAAAATTATTCCAAAAGCAATTTTGACCTTCGTGGATTAATATCATAAATATAATAAACGTGTAAATAAACATAAAAATTTATTAAAGGTACTTATATAGCACTGTCAATTTATGCATCGCTTTACGTATATATTGTACATTCATATCAGTCCCTAACCCTCAAGGGGCATATAGTCTAAGAACCCTAACTTACAATCATACATACACATGCTAGGGCCAATTTAGTCAGAAGCCAATTCACCTACCAAAAATAACAAAGTGATCATAAAGTGTCCAAAAAAGATGCAATTGGTAGAAGCAATCAAATAATCAGTCCCACATGCCGTGAGGGAAGTTTAAAATTTCAGAGATAGCCAAGGTGACCCTGTCCACTCTCATGCAAGGCTTACCAGAAAGCCTGTGACCCCCCTATTAAGAGTGGTCAATAACTGCTCATTATGGTAATAAAGCAGACATAATGGAAAAGGATAATCCTCGTGGAGAGGCTCAAAGCACATGAAATGGTTAAGCCACAGCCTCCTCTGTAAGTAAACTGGCTCCACATTAATCCAGCTCAAACCAACCAGGGATCAGAGCATGCAGTGGACCACATGTAATAAAGACATGTTCCACATAGTGTAAAACCGCAAGCTTGAAAAATTTGTTCAGTAGAAATGCACTTACATCATATTCTAGTATACAGGCATGTACATAAAAACACCAGGAACACAGCTGGCCGATTGCACATGCATGGTGTGCGTGGCTCCTGGAAAATGGTTACAAGGAGATTGATCTGGATAGAGTAATTCAAGAGATTGGGTGTCGTGATTGTGAGCAGCTCATCACTGATAATGTTCGCCCTATCAACAATTTTGATCATCTATTAAGAATATTAAAAGAAAACAATGACCGCTTTAAAAAAAAACCAAAACACTAAGTTTTGGGCCCAGTATTACTGGATCATCCAGCGGTTATTTTAAGAGAGGATAGTAATTTGAGAAATAGATTGGCGCCTGATGTCTTAGATCATGTAAGATCTGTTCTTTTATCTCTTGTGTGACAAAAAATGTGTACATGTCAATGTGCCCGTGTGGTTTAGAATACGTTGGGTGTACTACACGGACTTTGCATGTTCGTTTAGGCAAACATATTGCTAATATTAAGAAAGGCTACAAAGAACATTGCATGTCAAAGCATTACGCTTTGAAGCATAACAATAATCCTGCTGGCACTACTTTTATTGCATTTGAAAAATAATTTCCTGATGGGGGGGGCAGTAATGCCAAGAGAAGCATATCTAGAGCTGAAACCAGCTGGATATATCGGCTTAAAACATATACCCCTCTGGGTTTAAATATAGAGTGGGATATAAATTGTTTTATTAATAATAGTTAGGATAGCCGATATACTGGTATATTTCTATTTTCATTTTTAATTTTATTTTTATTTATGTAGGAGTTATTCATTTGTAATATTTTTTGTTTATAGGGGTTAATTTTATTTGATGTGTTAAGATTTTTATATTTGTTTTTACATTGGTAATATCTCCTTTTTATTGTATTGGGTTAAGGAGGATTGCTTTTTAATGTTTATCATTAAATCTGGTCAGATTCTAGTATGTGACTGCTGAACAACCACTGATTTTTAATTTTAACAGTTTTGGTTTGAATCCAGTCTTTTTCTTTTTTGTCACAAGATGGTGCTGCAAGAGTTTATAGGTTTGTGTCCATAGTGATTTGGCTATGGTATTGTTATTGAATGGGATCCAGTTGATTGGGCTCCTCCCCTTCACTTTTTTTCAATCAATGTCAGTGATCTTCCTCGCCCACTTCCTCTATGAGCATGGTGTGCATGCCCCTGATGACGTCACGTGAAAGGTCAGAAGTGTTTTACACTTTTGGAAAGATTTTGGTTTATATTAAGCGCTGCACTGTTGTTTTATATTAGTAAGGATAAGCTTTAAAACGTGTTTGTGATGATTAGGTAAAACCTTAAATGTTGAGAACCTGGCCAATGTGTTTTTTGCATTTGAGTTATTGTGCCTAATATCAATTTTAATGTGTCCCTATCTTATTTTTTTTTTTTTTTTTTTTTTAGGGTGGAATTGCTTTTGTTGCCATAAAAGGAGCTTTTAAGGTATATTTCAAGCAGCAGCAGTACTTGCGCCAGGCTCACCGAAAAATCCTCAACAACCCAGAAGCAGAGGAAGTATAATTCTCACTACCATCTGTGTGTGTTGTACAATCTTGTGCACAAGGTTCTACTGTGTCGTAGTGACTCCTCGCCATTGCAGAGTTCTGGGAATTTACCACATGCTGCTTTCCTTGGTTTTCCTTTTTTCTTTTTTCCACAAGACGCAATAATAAAGCACTTTTGTATGGCAGGATAAGTACTGTAAACAGTGAGCAGGTTACAGGACACGCCATCTCTCTACACTGCTTTACACCATCTTAATATTGTGTCATTTCAGTTTTGCATTTCACATGCTGGTAATAGACCCCATGTAACACAGCATACACCAGAAGGGGAGACTGTGAGTGACACCAAGGAAGAAACTGAAGCTTCGGGTTGCCATTTTTATTTTTTTAACACTTGTACAATGGCTGAAGCTAAGAGTTCAGGAGGATTTTTTTTTTGTCTTTTTTTTAAATAGTAATTTTCAGTTAAAAGTTGCTGCCAAAAGCGAATGTCTATAGAATGTACAGAGATGTGTTGGGAGGTGCGCCATGGCCATTTTAGGCAGTTTTCTTACCAATTTTACTGCATCCATTGTGATTACACTGATTGGGTGTAAAGTGGTTAGTTTTACTTTTCCAAGGATTATGGTCTTTTTTTTTTTTTTTTTTTTCCTGACCTTATGCTGCTGCATGTGCTTTGTCATTGTCAAACTGAGTCAGAATATTATATTATTAGTCACTTAAAAGGGTCCTCCTATTTCCTGAAACAATGGAAAAATTCCTCCAGCTATCAGTGAAAGATTCTTTGGACTCCAGCAGTTCTGTCAACTGAAACCTACTCAGCAATTGCCCTGACTTACCATTTTGTTCAGCCTAGAGAATATCTCCTGCTTGACATCCCCTACACCAATACGAGGTTAGTTTTGCTGTGGCCCTAGAGATCCTGGATGGAACTAAATTCTGTCTCACGAGGAGTTTGTAATTTTATTTTCAGGTTTGTAACATTGCTAGAACGTTTAGAGGTGGGGACCCAGATTTGATCCCAGTCAACTTCTGGTATTGCACTGCCTAGGTCCTTCTCCCACTTGGAAGTACAAGGAGGGGTAGGGGTGAGTATGGAGTGCATTAATTTGAGAACATAGGGAGTGATCATTCCTTGGTTTTGGGGGATTGGCATCACATATGTGCTTAAACATAGTTTTATGGGATGGCTGTGGGATTATGACCTAAGATACCAAAGTAATGTTTGACATGGAGGTAACCGAAGAATTCCCTAGAGGTAAGATGGTGGTTCTTTTGTAGGGATGGAAATGGTCCCTACTCCCACCTTTTTTTTTTTTTTTTTTTTCCCTCATTGAAAGTGAGAATTCTATGAAAGGAGACCTGTACTGTGAGAACTACAATTAGGGCATTGCTGACCACCGTTTAAAAATGCTATTTGCTTGTCTGTACCTTCAGTACTTTGTCACTCACCTGGACCAAGCATTTAGATTAGAAAACTTGGAGTAAAGTCAAAACTCCCAATCTGCATGCATGTTCCAATTCAGTGCCTCAGAAAGTATGAAACCCATTGGATCACCATGATAGCCAGCTAACTAGCATTTTCAGCAATGGCAGCCTCCATGTTCTTTCAGTACAAATTATCATTAGGCTGCCCAGGAATGATACAATGCCTGAATTCACCTTTTTGGTCTGGGTCCTGAACATGTGAACCTCCCACCATTTCAACACACATGCAGAAAGAGACCATACTGCATTTTTTTAGCCACAAGAACTATAATGGATTGCCATTTGGTTTTCGGACAGTGCCTCAAATTCTGGCTGAGGTTTTCCTGCCACTGAAGTCTGCACTACATCCGCCTCCAAGTGTGACTTGTACAGACAGGACTCTTGTGCACAAAACACTTTTGGATCCAAAAATTAGTGACATCTTTGGGAAGGAAATTAATTTACTATCTGGGAATGTAATTTGTGCAGAAGATGATGTACTTTAAATAAAAGAATGAAACACACACAGGTAAATTGTCATTAAGATGTAGCCTCATATATTGTTGCTGTAGTACTGCAGCTTTCTGCTCTAGTAGTTTTTCCCGCACATCTATTTGGCGAGTGGTTTGCAGAGGAGGTCACCATTTTGAAACTGTTTCCAGTAATCCAGAAACCTGCAATGTTTGTGAAGGATTTTTTTTTATCTAATTGTTAAAAACAGGGCCTGGTTTAGTAATGTGAGGTAATCCTAGGCCTTAGCGTGAGTAAAGACATGCACAATTTTGACTTTAACCATCCAGTTTTGTTATGAAGACCCTTTATTTCTTTGCATATGATTTGATGCTTGCAGAGATACTGTCACTATGCCCCATGCAGGACAATGTGACATTGTGTCTACCTGCTCCCCTGTGTTGGTGCTCCAACATTCAATTGCTAGACCTGTGTATTGTCACATGACCTAGAGAGTCGGGTCACCGCTTCTATTTTTAGCACTGGCCCCAATGGAGAAATTAGTGACAGGATTACTGCCAAGGTGAGTTTTGGGACCTGTGTTGACTATTTTGGGCTTGTAACTTCCAATAGAGATGCTTGTGAGATCATTCAGAATTCTTTTTGGGGTGTATTTAAAGGACAAGTTCACCTTTGGGAACATGTTCCTCCCATTTTTTAGGGTGGAACATGTAACATGCTCCCATAGCTGCAGCCACCCCCCCTTTGACAGGTAGTACCGGGAAACTTCTCTTACTATCTATGTGTAAGATTTGAAAACCATGTGAACGTGTGGAGCTCCGCCCACACAGCCACTTCACTCTTTCACAGAATTCTGTGAATGAGGACCTACAAGTTCCCAACAGCCTTGGCGGCTGTCGGCTTGTAGTTTTCAGTGAACTACTACGGAGCTGTGGAGCGCTGTCGTAGTTCATTGAAGCTTCTTATCAGAATATCTGCTTGCTCATTAATCCTGTAAGGCAGACAGATAGTCTGGCAGGTCTGCAGGAGACCTGCATGGCATCGGCGATCTACTGATCACTGGTGCAATGCTTTCCAGGCTTCTGCAGACAAAAATAATAAATGCATTTTTTTACCTGCAAAAAAAATATGCATTTATTGTTTGTCATAAAGGTGAACTTATCCTTTAACCTGCTCTTGAACATCTTCTGACCTGCATTTAAAGAGGAACTTCACTCTCAATCAACATTGATTATTTTTAATCTTTATGCTGCTAGCATTAGTAAATACATAGAATACATATCATATTTACTTGTTTTTAAACTTTTTTTTTTTTTTTTTTTTACTTTTTTACATTTCTTCAGTTACTTCCTGATTTCCACACCTAGGCAAATTATATCATACATCCCAGGAGTCTCCAGGAAGGGATGAGTGGTTTTCTCACCTACGCATACCTTCCTGTCTACATGCCTGAGCTAAAGGCAAATGGATTCCAGGACGTACATGCTATATGAATCATTTGCCCTTACTTAAGATGCTAGAAATTCTAGGAGGTGTTTTTCAAAGTGATTTCTCAGGAAATAAAGCATGGAGATATGGATGGGGGAGTTCACTTTGAATAAAAAAGAAAAAAAATGGTATTTTTGGTTTGTGGTGCCCCAGTGTAGTGTTTCGCTTTAACCTGCTTCAAGTGGGTTTTGCATTCACACAGACTTTTATGGTAGTTCAAAACCTGCTTGAATCTAACAAAAGCTCATCAACAAAGGCCCTTAGGGGGTCAGGGAATCTCCTTTGTGGAGATGCTGTAACCTGGACCTACATGGGCTAGGTGACAGTGACTTTCTACAATGAACACAGGTTTATTTTATCTCACTTTAGTAAATCAGACCAAAATTATATTCATTCTTGGCAAATATGGAATTTCATCATTTTGCTGATTCAGTGGCCATTCACACATAAAACTTTTTTATTCTGTTAAATTGTCAATGGTGTATTTTTTAGCAAGTATCATTACTGTATCTTTTCTAGTATAACACTTGTGATCATAAATGTGGTCAGAAAGTAAAAAAAAATCACAAAGTTTCAAAAATTATAAAAAGGAAATGATAAAAATACATATTTTTCAAGATCCCATACTAAGAATAAACCCCATAGTGACATACAACTACTAGATACATGGAACAATGCCTTGTATATTATGGGGTACTGACTGGTGTTTAGGAGGTAATTGTTGCTCACCAGTCCCTGAATTAGCACTTCCAAATCTGTCACCAGGGCTAGAATTTGGAAGGATTTTTGTAGCCCATTCCAGATTTATATTATCATTTGTAGCCTGTCATAAAGTTGTGCTAAATACATGTTTTGAGAATTAAAGAAAATAATGGAAGATTTGCAGTTTATGTATCCTTTTACTTCTTGGTAAACTGTACACTGCTAGCCCAAGAGAATTTTTTTATAACAATTGTTCAATATTCTGTCAGTAATTGTCTTACCTGTTAACAGGAGGGCACATACATGCAGTATGAGAACAATGTTCATCGCACCTGTGAATCAAAAGGGAGATGAAATAACATGACCGTTAGCAACTGTTGTGTGTAAATTTGTGATTTAAAATCACCTCTGGCCCTTTTATAGTAATCTAATAAAAATGAGCTCTTTAAATGCAGATAGAGGCCTTTTGCTGATCATGTCAGCAGCTTTTGGGGTTTCATGGCATCTGAAGTGCAGCAGGTGTCCTTTGGATTACTGCATAAGAGTTTGAGGCTCCCATTAGGGTATCATGACCTGCCTAATATTTAGATAGGTGGGTACTTATGGGAACGTCTAATGCCTGTATATTGGTAAGGATCACACTGAGTGAGAGCAGTGGAAATCAGAACACTGCTCATCCAGGGCAGATTTTGTTTATGAAAACCTATAAAAGACGAGGGACATTTTTTGCCTTTTTTACTTCAAAATTTGTGTCCATGCTTTAAGCATTCGCGTTGAATGCCAAAGATCTACAATTTGTATTTACTGTTCAAAACCAGTGACTCCCATTATAAGCTGATGAAGGTCCACTCTGGTAATCTGCAATCTCTGTAATATCATTTGACTAAA